GTAGGAGAACTGGGGGCTCAGAGAAGCCACAGCAGGGAAAGGGAAGCCGAGAGGCCAAGGCCACAGCCAAAGCCAGGGCTCTTTATCCTTGCTGGGCATGTCCTCTGCAGAAATGAAATCTGCTGCCCACCTGGGGGCCCCCACCCAGGGTCTAGAGTGCTCTCAAGGGCGAGGCAGGGTGCTGGTTCTTTCTGCTCCCCTATGGAGGCCACCTACATTCATCCAACTTTCCCCTGCTCTTCTCTATTCCTTCCTTCACTGCCACCTCCAGGGATGAGCAGTCTAGCCTGCTGCCTCTCCAACCTCCCACTCTCCTAGCAGCCCTGGGCAACCAACCTAGCCTCCGCCTGCAGCAGCTCCAGGAGAAACCCAGCAGCTCAGCCCCCTTTCCATTCTGACCACAAGCCCTCCTTGCTGCTGAGGTACACCCTGCTCCCTCAGTGTAGTCACACCCAAGGGACGCTTGGGCAGCAGCCATGCAAAAACCCCGAAGTATCACTGCTCCAGCTATCACAAAGGAGTCTGGAGGGGCTGAGGATGGGTGGTTGCTGGGATGGGGCTTGCTGAAACGCGCTTGGACATCATGCAGAGCTTGGCAGGGCCTAAGAACTGGAGTCTTACTATTTTACTAGGCTCAAATGTCCCTCACAAAGCTTCCTGCTTAGAATTACACTTCCCTTCCTCTTTGCTCCCAGAAACATTTATCTATTGTAGTGTTTGCCCCCCATCAGTCTACCCAACTATAAAAGGGGCCAATAGCAGCAGCAGCCTGACAAGGCTGTTTCAGAGATTAAACCACCAAGTAACCCACCATGCAGTCAGTGCCCAGGAATGTCAGCTGTTAATATCAGTGGTGCCTCCTTCTGTCCATCCACCTAGCCCTCACTGGACTGCAAACTCTCCAACAGCAATGGAGACAGCTTATGCCTCTTACCATCTCCCAACCCTTATGTGATTTCACGGTAACTGGCAGTGCTTACAGAGGGCTCCTCCAGGGCCTTCGTGGCATCACACCAGGACACTAACTTCTCATGTAACCCTCACTGGTGGCCACCACCCCACTGCTACCCTCGGAGACGGTCGTTCTCTGTGGTGGGTTGCCCAGTATATTACGTGATGTCGCACAGCACCTTCTGCACCCACTAGAGGCCAGGAGCACTGCCAGACCAGCTGTGACACTCCCAAGCATCCCCTGAGGGGACAGAATTGCCCCTGGAGGAGACATGCTGAGGTAGATACAGGTATGTCTGCTTGTCCTCACTCATCAGATGAGGAAACAGAGGTGCGACAGCAAGACCTTTGCTTAAGGGTTGCAAGGCCACAAGCAATGTGGCTGGCACACTGCTTAGCAGTGTGGTGCCAAGGGGCAAATTTTATTCTCTCCACTGCAGCATGTCAGCTCATCGTAGTCCAACCAGCGCTTAAGTCATGAAACAGTCGAGTCTCTCAGGACACTGAGACTTTCACCAAGGAGGAGGTAGGGAAGGCAGGACAGTAACTATAACCAGGCACTACCTGCCTACTCCCATCTCATGGCCTCTGTGGTTCAAAGGGTTTTCTAGGGGGAAACGGAGGGACGACATTCTCAGGCAGGAGGACCCAGGATCACAGAGAAGGAGCAGGGCTCACTTGCTCACAGCAGGCATGGGCTTAAATGAATTCAAAGATGTGAGAGTGCTCAGAGAAGCCAGGCACCCAGGAAAGTGGTCAGGGGCGATGAGGGTGAGGGAGGACCTAACAGGAACAACGTCTGATATAAACACTGCCTCCGTGTCTCCAAGCCCCGGCAGTTCACCTCAGCCTCAAATACAGTGATCCCCTGGGGCTGACAGGCCACCTTCTCCACCTTGAGCTTTGGTAATGACACTGATCAACTCCCAGTCAGACCTCACCAGACCAACCCCCAATCCTCCACTGACCCCAATGACAGATCCTACAAGGCCAACCAAAGCTCTCATCTCCTCACAGTCCTGCTCAAGAATCTCCTGGGGCTCTCCAATGCCTGCCTGGGGCACCAGATTGTAACAGGCCCCAGATGCAGGCCAAGGGGTCTGGACTTGCATCTGGGGTGTCAGGAAGACCCTGAGACCAGCTGCTTCCTTTCTGTGAATAGCACTAAGAATCTGCCTGCACATCAGGGTCACTCCTGGCTCCTTCCCTCATGAAGACAAGATATTTAGAGCACTTGGCAGGAGCCTGGCACAAGCTCAGTAACGGCTCTCAATGGGCTGTCCCCTCTGCCTGGAACATTTGCCCTTCCCTGCCCCAGCCCCCGCCTTCCACCCCCGGGGCTCATAATTTCTTATTATTCAAGGCTCAAATCTCCCAAAAGCCTTCCCTGAGCATCCCATCTAAAGCTCTCTCCCGCCAGCATTCACTGTCATTTTCCCTTATCTCACTAAATTCGTGAACACAGGAATAGCAGAAATTATCTTGATCACTTGTTTGTCTGAGGTTGGTGACCTTCACCAGAATAAAAGCTGCTGAGAGTGGCTCTAGGATTTGTTACTCAGGGCTGCACCCCCTCCCCGCCCCAGCCCCTAGCAGGGGATCAGCACCGTAGTGAAATAAAACTGCCCCGAGGATTCCTTTACTTGTTGTATTACACCTCCAATGCCCTGCCCATTATGGCCTCCTTTGACGCCTTAGGTCTATGCACCCAAAGTCATTACAGAAAAGTAGTTAGTTACTAAATGTGCATTCCACAGCTCCAGGTCCAGGCTCAAACCCACTGCCTTCTTCTCTGCCATCCATATATCACAGCCAACTGCCACTAGCCCCTATCCCTGTTCCAGCTGTGTGAGTAGAGGTAACCACCGCTGTCCTCAGTACCCAGCCCAGAACCCTGCTGGAGCCCAGAGGAGGTCCCAGTCTCAGCCCAACCTGGCATGTCTCTTTACATAGGGCTGCTGGCCCAGTTCCCACACCTTCCAGAACCAGGAGGCCAGCCACAGAAGAAAGGGGGCCAGAGCCAAAGCAGAGGCCAGTTCTAGGAATTATGGGGAGATTGGTGGAATGGAGGGAATGAGAGTGACTACCCATCACTAAACCCAGATCTGGCTGATACACTCAACCCACAGTCTGCGGCTCCTACCTCAGGTGCTAGGCTCCCAAGTCAATGTTCCCAGGACACAGCAGCAACAGCTCTGCAATTAGCTCAAAGAAAAGGAACAAAAGATGGAGTGGGCTGACCTGGAACCCAAGTGGGAAAAAGACAAACCAGGCAAGCAAAGAAAAAATCTAGCTCCTGGGCCCCATTCTCAGGAGTGCCTCCCCCTGCCAGTCCACAGCTGTTACCTTTGACCTCTTGGCTCCAAGAAGGTGAATGGGGGATGAGGAATATAACCAGACATCTGAAAAAGAAGCTTTCACTTCTACCCCCTGGGACACCAGGAAATCTGTCCAAAAAGGCACTGACCCATCTCTTGGAATGGAAAGAGGAAAGAGCATTTCTGCCAAGGAATCTGGAAGACTGGGGAGCTCCTCCAGTCATGGCTCTCAAAGGCCAACTTGGGGGATTATGGGTTTGGGCTGAGGGTCAACCAATCCAAGCCTGCCAGTGTCTGGTCATGTGACCTGGGGACAAGCCACCCCAAGCCTCATCTTCTGTACCACGAAGAAAGCCTAAACTGACCTACTGGTGGTGAGCAATCAATGATCCACTGGCAAACTCAGCACAGTCTGGCCCAGGGCATTATCCTGGAAGCACAGCCTGCCCCAAGGGCCTTGGGCCAGGATGTAGGTGCCTAATTTGATCCCCTTTTTGATGACTGTCCGTTACCCTACAGTAAGCCTCCAAAACAACAAAACTTCAATTCACCTCCCAGTTCACCTCCAGGAAACTGGCCCATGGTATAAGACAACGGCTGTTTAAACCTCAGGCTCCAATCAAAGTAAATGGGGAAAGACTCTAGGACCCTTAGATAGTCAGGTAAGGGCAGCTGGGCTGCCTGTCTACAGATATATGGGGTGGGGGTGTGCAAGGCCACCCCACTGTAAACAAGATGCCGGAGCTAGGTGTTCCCAAGCTTCCCACACAAACACCCACCTGGAAGGCCACAGCCTTGAACAGCCAGCAGAGGCTTGCCCAGAGGGTAGGTCGGGGACCCAGAGCCTTACAGGAATTAAGTATGGGAAAGAAAAAAGAAAGGGGTACACCTTGGCACGTGACATTTGATCAACACTAGTTTCTCACAACTTGCCTTCACATCCCCATTAGCGTAGCCCAAAAGCTCCTCCTTTCCCCATTCCCAAAGCTCCTACAAGTTCCTCAACTTACCTGATCGCCCCAGTATCTGGCCTTTCCCCCTCAACATCTCTTCACCCTTAACCTCGGGTGACCCCTGCAAACATCTCCGGGACCTACTAACCGCCGGCTCCCCCAACTCCCGATTCCGAATTAACTCCGCCCACACCCACCCTGCCCCACTTCCTGGGCTTCTCCTCAGCCACCCCCAAGCATGTAACCTGACCCACCCACCTCCACCGGCGATAATACCTGCAAGTCCCGCCCCGCCCCGACCCCCTCCGAGCCGTTTCCCTCCCGCAGCGCCGCCCTCCCCTCCTCCCCGCACTCCGTCCGCCCAAAGCCGGACTCCTCCTTCCCCTCCCCCTCCGGGCTCCCCGGGGGCCTCCTCATTTTACCCCTCGGGCCCTCCAACTTCCCAGGCCTCCCCGCACCTGCCCCTTCCCAGCTTCGCCCCGCCCCCCTCTCCCCCTCCGCTGGCAATGAGGGGAGGAGGTCTGGGCCAGATCCCGCCGTTTCCCTAGCCCCGCGGCCCGGCCCGGGGCTGGACACTCGAGGCCGCTGGCCGGGGGCAGGCCCCCCCTCACTCGTCGGTCCAGCCACAGTGCAGGCTGTGGACTTGGTCCCTCCTTGCTCGGAGGAGCCCCCCCGCCACCGCAAGCTCTCCCCCTTCAGTCCTTAGCTGGACCTCGGATGCCCTAGGGCAGCCCGGGCGGGAGGAGGCCGGAACCCGGCCTGAGGCGGTCCGCCTCACCTGTGCTGCGGCCGCTTTCCCAGGGCTTCTGGCGTGCTCCGCAGCGGCGGCTGGGGCCGGGCCTGGGCCCGGGGCGCGACCCCCTGCGCCGGGGCCTCGGCCTCCGCCTCCGCGGCCTCCGCGGCCTCCGCCTCAGCAGCAGCGGCAGCCGCGGCGGCCATTCATTGTGGGCCAGGCCGCCCCAGCCGAGCGCCGAGCCAGCAGCGCAAGCCGCACCGCCGCGGTCGCCGGGCTGGGGAGGAACGGCAGTGGCTCTGCCCACACACCACCCTCCGTCCCGCCCCCTAGGCGAGGCCAGTCAAGCACCGAACGCACCCCTTCCCGTCTCCGCCTCCTGCCTCGGCCCCTCGGAGTCTTCCAGTAACTTTTCTGTGCTTGAGAGTTCGAATCCCGACGCCGCCACCTTTCTAGTCCCGCGACCTCAGACACGTCGCTCTGTCTTTCGGAACTTTGGTTTCCTGTAAGACGTAAACAATATTGTCTGCTGTTATCGTGTCAGCCACTGTTTTAGGCTCTTTATGTGAATGATCGCTTTTAAACATCACGGTAACATTTTTACGTGGAAATTATTTCACACACACACAGTAGGAAATAGGGAAGCACAGATAGATAAAGAAACCTGCTAAAGATTACACAGCAAGAAAGTTGGTGGCAGGTGTCTGGATTCAAACCCAGGGTTAGAAGCCACAGTAAATTAACACATTATGCCAGATTATATTATAAACATTTTACCTTCACTAACTCATTTAATTCTCATCGCAACCCAATAACAAACCTTAAAAAGTTCTACCCATTTTGTAAATGGGGAAACGTAAGCACAGAGAGGGTTAACGACAAGTAGTAAGGAGAGCTGGGACTGGAGCTCAAACAGACCAGGCCACTACGCTGTCCTCCTTTCCTACACGGGTTAGAACAGACTGGGGGTTATGTGAAAGGGTGGCTTTGAACACTTTCCAGGCAGTCTGTCTTTTAATCTTTGCTCTGTCTTGGAAGCTAGGGTTGTTATTTAACATGTAAGGAAATTAAGGTCCAGAGAACTTAAGTAACTTTACAAGAGCATATGGTAAATCTGGGAATTCAAACTCAGTAAATCTGACTTTAGAGCCTGCAGGATGCCCTGAAATAATGTGTTTATGGCACCCAGAATTCAGGAGGCGATAAATGGGTCTTGGATTTCTTCGCTTACCACCCCTTTGCTGAACCTCAACTTCCTCATCCATGAAATGGGCTGGTGATGCGTGGCCTTAATTACAGAGCAACCGCTGTGATTAAGGCCACAGTTAAAACAGTTATGTACTTTCCACGGTGCATTTTGATCCCGGCGTCCCACTGTAGGTAGCATCACTGATTGGCTAAATTCTGCCACGTGACCCGCCCCCCCGTGCCAACATGGCGGCGCCCAGGTCCTAATCCGGAAAATGTGCACCAAGACTAACTCGGTTCTCGGTCTCTGGAGCGAAAGTGAGGAGACCCTGGGCGGTGAGGGGAGGGATCCGGAGCAGGGGCGAGGCCACTCGAGGAATTACGGCTTCACAGGGGCCCATCCTCAGAAGATGGGGGATGGTGTCAGTTTACAGAGGCCACAGGGTCCCCTTAGCCTCTATTTTACAGACGTGTAGGACCACCCGGCCCGGTAACGCAGTTTTGTGATTCTCTCTATACCCTCCTTATCCAGGCTTGGCGGGCAGAGAGGCTGCAGTAGATGTCCCATGTGAGAGTCGTTTTGTGGCTAAGCCTGACTCTCCGCTCCGCCCGCGGTCTCTGTAGAGTCCGGTCTATGGAGGGGCAGCCCCAAGGGTCAGTGAATCCAACCGCAATGGTAAACAGCACGGTGTCTTGCGGAGAAAAGCTTCCACCTGAGACCCAGGAGACGACGGTCACCGAGGGGGCCGCCAAGATCGCCTTCCCCAGCGCCAACGAAGTCTTCTACAACCCGGTGCAGGAGTTCAACCGGGATCTGACGTGAGCAGGGGTCCGGGGTCAGCTTGGCAGAGGGCAGTGGGTCTATGAAGTGAGGAGGTGTGAGCCAGGCCTTCGTCTTCTGCAGATGTGCTGTGATCACTGAGTTTGCTCGCATTCAGCTGGGAGCCAGAGGAATCCAGAGTGAGTGGAGGTCCAATCTCCTGGTGGGCAGGGGGTCACACAGCCCTCTCCCTGCCCAGCCCCCTCTCCCCTAAAGTCCGGGAAGGCTCCAGCCAAATATCAGGTCCTGGGCTGTGCTCCTTCAGCCTTTCCTGCACTTTAGGGAGCATTTTTTTTTTCCATGAAGCTCTGTCTTCTTTAGAGTAGAGGAGGTTTCTCAGAGACAGTATTGATAGCCATTGACTTGTGTTTTGGGGTGGCTGCAGTCAAGGTACCAGGTGAAAAGGAGGTGCAAAAGGTGGTGGTGGACTTGTCGGAGCAAGAGGAGGACAAGACTGAACTGAAAGAGGGTGCAGACTTGGCCCCAGAAAACCAACCTCGGACAGCCGCTGTGGGGGAGATCTGTGAGGTGAGGCTCAGGCATAAATAGGTGGCAGCCCCAGAGTTCACTGGGTGATGGAGGAAGAAAGGCTTTTGGAGGAGGAGAGCTATAGGAGGCAGATGGTGGGGGCTCCAGCAGGGAATGGAGGTATTGATGTGAGCCGGGCTCCCTGCTTATGCTTACGCCAACAGGAAGGCCTGCGAGTTCTGGAGGGCCTGGCAGCCTCAGGTCTTCGTTCCATTCGCTTTGCCCGTGAGGTGCCCGGGCTCCGATTGGTGGTTGCCAACGATGCCTCTGCCCGAGCAGTGGATCTCATACGCCATAATGTGCAGCTCAACAAAGTGGCCCACCTGGTACAGCCCAGCCAGGCGGATGCCCGGTAGGTTCTGGGCCGCAGAGCCTGGCTGCTGGAAGGTGCATTCGGGAGCAGGGCTGGCAGGGGTCAAATGCTGGCTGTGTCATATTCTTGCCCTGTGACCTTGGGGTAGTGCCTTAGCCTCTCTGAGTCTGTTTCTTTGTTTGTAAAACTACAGTTTTGCAGAGGTTGCTGTAATGATTAAATGAGAGGTAATACTTGCATAGCCTGTGCTCAGTACCATAAATAAGTACCATTATGGTTCCCACTTAAAATTTCTTGTACATTCTTGAACTTTTATTCATTCAAATGAACCAGCTTATATCCACTGTCTGCTACGTGCTGGACACCATTTTCAGTACAGGGAATGCATCAGTAAACAATACAGACAGACAAAATCCCTGACCTGGTGGAGTTCACATTCAAATGCAGGGATCAGCAAACTATAACCTGCAAGGCCCACAGCCTGGGTTTTTGTGGTCTGACACCTAAGGATGTTTTTTACATTTTTAAAGGTTAAAAAAAAGAAGAATATGTAATAGAGACCGTATATGGCCTACAATGCCTAAAATATTTACTGTCTGACCCTTTGCAGAAAGTAAATAACTAAGTAAAAAATATTTGCTTTCCTGACTATATTAAAATCTAATAGGAAACACAGAGGATAACAAATATTTATGGCAAATAAATAAATTACATAGTAAATTAGAGGTGCTCTAGAAAAAAATAGAAGGTAGAGGGGATGGAAGAATGTGGTGAGGGAGCGTTGCAATTTTGAAAAATGGGATCAGGGTAGGCTGTGTTGAGAAGGTAGCATTTACTTTTCCTTACCTGCAAAGGGGAACCTTATAGTTCCAAATCCCTGGAGTTGTTCTGGAAGGCACCTTCCATCCCCATTGGAAGATTATGTGATTGAATGAATTAATGTGTCTATAAATTGCTTGAAACAGTGTCAGGCGATATGCGCTACATTAGTACAGCAGGTTTTGGAGTAATGTCATGGTTATAATATTGAGGAGAAAAAGAAAATTTGAGTCTCAGCCAGGGCCACTGTATGGATTTGACAGGTTCTCCCCATGTGTATGTGGTTTTCTATGGGGACTGTGTTTTCCTCCCTCTACCTAAAATATTCCCGTGAGGTGAACTGGCAGGTCTACGTTGTCCCTGAGTGAGTCTGGGTAGATGTGACTCAACCTGCAATGGAAGGGCATCCTGTCCAGAGCGGATCCCACCTTGCACCCTGGACAGACTGTATCCTGAGCTGCCTGGATGGACTCGGGCCACCCATGACCCTGAACTGGGTTAAGTGAGGTTGAAAATAATGATGACTTATTCTTATTAGTTTTTCTTAGATATAGAGCTCACATTTATTTCAATGCTTAATATTAGAAGTGTTTTGAGCCTTTATTTAGAAGTTGAGTGATGTGTTTTTGTGAGACTGGAAATATGATATAGGAGCTTAACTCTATTTTTTAAAAACTGATTCTAGAGAGAGAGAGAGAGAGGAAGAGGGAAGAGAGAGACAGACATCGACTTGTTGTTCTACCCACTCATACACTCACTGGTTGATTTTCATACGTGCCCTGACCAGGGATCAAACCTTCAAGTGTTGGGTTAACGTTCTAACCCACTGAGATACCCGGCCAGGTCTAGAACTTAACTCCTGTTTAGACCAATTAATCTATAGTAAAATTGGTTTCGTTACATGTCATTTTGCCTAAAGTCACAGTTTTCAAGAACCTACTATAATGTTAGGTGAGCACTGACTGTATTGGCTATTGTTACTCCCATTGTTACAGCTGGGTAGAATGAGCTCCCGGGGGGAAAGGCCATGAGGTTAGCAAATGGGAAAGCCAGATCTAAGCCTGGGCAGCTGGCCCCAAGCCCAGGCCCAAACCTTCACAATGCTGGATTGGACGTGTGTAGGGAACGGAGCAGGTCCCAGGTGCAGGGGGCTGAGGCCCTGGCCCTCTCACCCCCAGGATGCTGATGTACCAGCACCAGCGGCTGTCGGATCGGTTTGAGGTTATCGACCTGGACCCCTATGGCAGCCCTGCCCCTTTCCTGGATGCAGCTGTGCAGGCTGTGAGTGAAGGAGGTGAGGTCAGGCTGACCCAGGGGTACAGAGCAGGGCTTGGGGTGTTTGAAGGGTCCTCACTGTCCAGTGCTTCCCTGTAGGCCTGCTGTGTGTGACCTGCACGGACATGGCAGTTCTGGCGGGGAACAGCGGGGAGACATGCTACAGCAAGTATGGGGCCATGGCCCTCAAGAGTCGGGCCTGCCACGAGATGGTGAGAGACACACCGCTACCCCCCAGCACCCCTTCCCACCTCTCAGACCTGCTCAGCTTCCTCCAGGCAGCCAGGGCCAGATCCATGCCAGCATGTTAACAATAAGCACATCTTTAATCAGCATAGTCCTTAAGAGCAAGGGCTTCTAGTTATGATTATTCGGGGCAGTGGCTACACCATTCTTTCTAGTGATCTCTATTTTAACAACTTTCCAAAATTGTCTGTTGAAGGCAGTTTTTCCAGGTCTGGATTCAGCTCTGGGTTCAAGTCCCAACTTTGCTGGTAGCTTTGAGCAAGTAACTTCCCCTTTCTGGGCCTCAATTTTGGTGTCTGTCAGATGGGCATGCTGATGATGGCCTGGATACCGTTAGGTTGCTGTGGGAATTCAAGAAGGCAGGGGCAGGCTGCCTCACAGGGCTGGGAAAGGAGGAGCTCTGTCCTTATTTCTTAAGGGCTTTGTCATCAGATCAGTCTGGGAAACGCTTCATCCTTTTCTGTGTTAGCATGTCACAGTGAGCCCTAGCACAGAGAAGGCCCCAGCAGTTCTGTAGCACCCAATGTCCCTACTTTCTGCCAACTAAGCCCCTGGTGGCCGGAGGATAGGTCCTTGGGCCACATTGCGCAGTGTGGGCCATGCCGATGATGCTGATCAGAATACTTCCACTTAATGGGCCTGTGTGTTCCCAGATCACTTAGTGCTCCCAGCAGGACCATGGAGACAGAGACGGTTGTGATTTCACAGATGGGGGAACTACACATTCATTTGCCAAGGGACACACAGCCGGGATGCCCAGGGCTGGGCTTGGAAGTCGTGGAGCACACCCGACCCTGTGCTCATGTGAGCACCTTGTTCAGAGGCAGCGCTGACGGCTGATGTCTACCCCTATCCTCATCCCCAGGCCCTGCGGATCGTCCTACACAGCCTAGACCTCCGCGCCAACTGCTACCAGCGCTTTGTGGTGCCACTGCTCAGCATCAGTGCTGATTTCTATGTGCGTGTTTTTGTTCGTGTCTTCACTGGCCAGGCCAAAGTCAAGGCCTCAGCCAGGTTAGCAGCGGGTTTGGGGCAGGTGCTGGGTGATGAATTGAACAGGGCAACAGAGCCTTTACCTGGGGAAATGGGGTCATACCAGGGATCAAGTCAGCCTGAGGGAGGAATGGTGGTATGGTGGCTACCCCTACTTCCCCCACAGCAAGCAGGCGCTGGTGTTCCAGTGTGTCGGCTGTGGAACCTTCCACCTTCAACACCTTGGCAAAGCATCCGGGGCTTCTGGTGGACGGTAAGCAGGGGTGAGTCAGGAGGGAGGTATAGAGGGTTTCCAAGGATTGTTGCCCCCTAAACACCTCTCTCTGTGCAGGGTCAAGTTCTCTGCAGCTTGTGGTCCCCCCATAGCCCCTGAGTGTGAGCACTGTGGGCAGCGGCACCAGGTAGGGCCAGGCTGGGGTTCAGCAAGGGGGTCACAAAGGTACCAGTGTTTCCCTCCTTGCCCATCTGGCACCTGTGTGTCTGCAGCTCGGTGGCCCCCTGTGGGTAGAGCCAATCCATGACCTGGATTTTGTGAGCCGTGTCCTAGGGGCCGTGAGCACTAACCCCAACCGCTTCCACACTTCAGAGCGGATCCGAGGAGTTCTGAGCGTCATCACCGAGGTGGGGGCAGGGCTGAAACACGATGGGGGCTCACCTGTACCCAGCTTCCTCCATCTGCCCCACCCACATCCTGTTGTCCACTGTGGCAGGAGCTGCCGGATGTGCCTCTGTACTACACACTGGACCAGCTGAGCAGCACCATCCACTGTAATACACCCAGCCTCCTACAGCTGCGGTGAGGCCCTGGCCGAGGAAGAACAGAGCCTGAGTGCTGGGTGCCCTGGGCAACTTGGACCCCTTTCTGGACAAAGTCCCTTGTAAAATGGAGATTAAGTATCACTCACCCCTAGGGCGTCTCATGTACAACAGAGCTCAGAGGCCAGGAGCTCTGGCCAGAGGGACAGTCTCACTGTTACGATCATTGGCATTATACCAGCCACACAGTCACCATAAGACATGCAGCCAGCCTCACAGGTCCATTCAGCATGACTCACCCACACATGTCAGCACTGACTTTGAGGTCTAACCTTCCCCTCAAGGCCCCTCTCGGTCCTCAGGTCGGCCCTCCTCCACGCTGGCTTCCGGGTCTCGCTCTCCCATGCCTGCAAGAACGCCGTGAAGACAGACGCCCCTGCCTCTGCCCTATGGGACATCATGCGCTGCTGGGTGAGGGCCAGCCTGACCAGGTGGCGGAGAGGGCAGGGGTGGACAGGCTGGCCATCCCCTGGCACTTGATCTTTGCTTTCCAGGAGAAGGAGTGCCCGGTGAAACGGGAGAGGCTGTCCGAGACCAGCCCAGCCTTCCGCATCCTTAGTGTGGAGCCCAGGTAAGGACACTTCTGCCACCAGAATGGATTCTCACATGCATACAGATGACACAGACACTTGCCTACACAGACACCTGCTCATTCTTCAAGTGAGATCCAGAATCCACCTTCTCCCCCTCCTCTTCTGCCCCACCTGGGTCTGGCCCCATCGCTGCTCACCGAGACAGTGCAGTCAGCTCTGCCCTAGTTCCCCAGCTCCCACCCTCACCTTCCATAGACTGTTCCCCTCACAGTACCCAAAGTGCCTGTGAGCATCTGAGGGGACACAATCTGCCTGCACTGTGTCCCCCTCGGATGCTCAGAACTCTCTGTGGCTCCCTCCTCACCCAGTGAAACTGAGTTCCACCTGCAAACCCTGCCCCATCCCTCTGTCCCTCTCCTGCCCTCATTCATTCTCCCGCCTTACTCCCACTCGCTCCACACTGGCCTTCTCACTCAAACTCTTCAGACACATCCCCACCTCAGGGCCTTTGCACGGGCTGTCCCCTCACCTCCTTCGCCAGTCTCCCAGTACCCTCCCCTCCTGTGTTCTTGCCAAAACTCTTACCGTATGCCCTAACCCAACATGATTTGCAGGTTTTTGATTTGTCCCATTGCTTGCCCATCTTGTACATTGGAATGTCAGCTTTACCAGCAACAGATTTCAGGCACACAGTAGGCACTCACTAAATGTTTCTGAAATGAAGGAGAGAATCCTGACACAGGATTCCCAAGTTACCAAGGTGGGTAGGCCCCATGGGTAGTTTGTTGTGCCTGTCCAAGTGGTGGCTGGCCCTCAGCCACACCCCACCTGCCCCAGGCTGAAGGCCAACTTCACCATTCGGGATGATGCCAACCCCAGCTCCCGCCAGCAAGGACTCAAGCGCTTCCAGGCCAATCCTGAGGCCAACTGGGGCCCCCGGCCCCGTGCCCGGCCAGGGTGAGTGAGAGGTGGTGGTGGGACTCGGCCAGGGCCTGGAATGCGAAAGCCAGATGGGGTCCCAGCTGCTCATCTCCCTGCACAGGGGTAAGGCAGAGGGCAAAGCTATGGGGGACAGATGCAGGCTGCTCCAGAATAAGCGAAAGGAACTGGCTGAGGACCCAGCCCAGCGGGCTGCCCGGCTTAAGACATTTCCTTGCAAGAGGTTTAAGGAGGTGAGGCACTCCCTACCCCTCACTGCTGCACATGTGGGTGACAACAGGGCAGGGCGAAGGGGCAGGCTGGGAGAACTGGGGGTGGGCAAGAGGGTGGGAGTGAGCTCCCCATCCAGGAAAGGAACCCAGCAGAGGCTGCCAGGCTCTGGGCCAGGCTTCCCACCTACCATCTTTCCACCAGGGCACCTGTCAACGAGGGGACCAGTGCTGTTACTCCCACAGACCCCCAATATCCGAGGCCATTGCTGAAGCTGTCCCCACTGACAGCCCACAGGCCCCAAACCCGAACCCCCCTGGGCCTGAGGTCACCAGTGGTCCCGGTGTAGATTGAGCCAATAAAGAGGTTTCACTGCGAACCAAAAGATCCCGGTTCAATTCCCCGTCAGGGCACATGCCTGGGTTGCAGGCCAATTCCCAGCAGGGGCCAGTTCCCAGCTGGGGATGCACCAGAAGCAACCATACATTGATATTTCTCTCCTTCCCTTCCCTTCTAAAGATAAATAAATAAATAATTTTTAAAAAAAGAGAGAGATTTCATTTTGTCCTGGTTTATTGGTCTTGAGTGTGGAAACTGCCTGTGGTTTGTCTGTCCATCTCTCCAGCATGTTTGGGGTCTGTTTCTCCATCCATCTGAATTAACTCATTGGGGGAGCTCTGGACTTCGAGAGGTTGGTTTGACTCTTCCTGACTGAGTGTGTAATCAGTGCTTCTGTCTGAGGTGTTCTTTCTGGGGGGCGGTCTGCCCCTCTGCAGCTAGAGACACTTAGGCACCTGGTTGCTGGCGCCTGAGGTTCCCCAGGCAGCCACGAGGTGGCAGCCGTGCGCTCATGCCTAGAGGCCTTTTACATCTCCTTCCGTTGGCGTGCTCTCCAGCACAGGCGCGCGCAAGCGGGTGCCACCAAGCTCCCACGTGGCCTCTGGCTGCCACCTCTTTGCTGCCTGGTTTCTCTGGCCCAGCTCCCCGCAGAGCCGCGGTGGCGGAAGCCAGACCGGAACCAGGGGGCCTTGTGCATCCGCTCCAGACCAGGTGCTTCCTGCCCTGTGGCCCCTGGGGTGGGGGTGCTCATCAAGGCACCAGGCTGACTGCTTCATCCTCCCCACATGGGCAAGCCTTAGCAACGTTAACAGACAGGCCTGCGGCAGAGTTCCCACCCTGCCATGTGGTAGCTGTGGGACCCCAGAGGCAGCTTTCACCTTGCTCCATCCCCAGGAGTAAAATAAACCTGATCCTAAAACCAGTCTTTGTGGACACCTACATGTTCACCGAGTGCTTAGAACTGGACCCTTGTTTTGCTGAGAGAGTGGGGTGGTGGGTGGTGGGTTCTAGTATCATCTGGTTCCTGTGATGGTGGCGGCGGCGGCATTGGCGCTGAGTGGAAGCTGAGGGCCTGCCTGGGGGGCTCCTGCAGTCACCTAGATGGACACAGAACAGCACCACTGACCCAGGTGAGAGGGTGCTGGGGGTCAGGAACAGTCTTGTTACTGCCACCTAGCTGTACCCAGGGCCCCCCTCTTCTTAAGGCTCCATCTAGGTCTTGGGTTTCACCACCACCCAGATCACTCACACAACACCTCTTCATCACCATTACCCCTGAAGTGGCCAGGCTGTGGGATGAGGGCCAGGGACCACCCAGTTATGTGACCCTGTGACCTAGAGGACCAGGATTGTGAGGGTGTGCTGGGGGGACCTATAGGAAGGTTCTAGCAGCCCTGGCAACATAGTAAACCTCCCCCAGTTGCAGACCTTCCTGGGCCTGGAAAGGGTATATGGATATCACATTTGGGACCAGGACAAGTGCCCAGACTGGGCACCTGAGATCAGACTGTCAGAACTGCCCTCTTGCCAGTGCCCCACTCTGGGGTGGGAGTGGCAGAAGGGCTGGGAGGGGCTCTGTAAAAAGAGGAACCAGGCAGGGGGAGGAGAGGGCCCCAGTCACGAGCCCCAGCAAGGCCGGAAAGGGCTCTCCACCCCCATCAGCACGGACACAACTGGGGGTGTTCAAAGCCATAGGCCAGGCCCAAGAGACAGGAGGCCGCTGCTTTCCTGCCTCAGTTTCCTGTCTGTGTGCATCTGGGTATCTCATACCCAGCTGTGCACTGGGGCTGGGTCCTTGGAGGGCCAGGGTCCCTCTGGTGACTGGGGGACAGAAGGTGAAGCCCTGGGGTGACAGCCAGTCCTGCCCGCCGGCCTGAGGAGGGGCCAGAAGCCAATCTCAGAGATCCCCGCCCACTGGTTTCCTCCGGGGTCAGCCCGACTCCTTATCAGTCTCGGCCAGGCAGCCAGGCCCTTATCTGCGCTGGCCCAGCATCCTCCAGCCACTGCGCCAGGGGTAAGAGGGAGGAAACTGGCCACCGGGGGCGGGGAGAGGGCGGGCCAGCCCTGGAGCCGCTCACTTTTCCTCTAGGGACCCACGCTGCTGCCATCACCGAGGCCCCAAGGCCCTTGGGAGCCCAGGAAGAGGTGAAGCCCAGACAGGGTGGCCGACTGCCTGGGGCACAGAGTGAAGAGGCTGGAGGAAGCAGGGGCGAGGAGCCCATCCCGAAGCAGGAACCATATCCTTGCCTGACCGACAAAGCCAGGGCACTCAGCAACCAGCGCCGGGGTAAGATGGGAGTAGCCTGAAGGTGGGGGACTCCCTGACCCACCTGCCTTCATTCATTTGTTCCTGCCTGCCTTCATTCATTGATCTGCAGGAACCAACTAAGCAAGAGGCCAGGCCAGCTTCCCCAGGACCCACCTAGGGAAGACAGGGCAGAGGGACCAGGTGTCCCCAATATTGCTGGTACACTCCAGGCCATAGATACGAGAGTGAACAGGGACCTCTAACCAGGGTGCAAAGGGTGAGGGATGCTGATGGGGGGGGGAGGGGAGGGGGGTCACCAGGGCCAGGTGGAGGATTAAGAGATTAAGACATGACTGTACGTACTGGACAATGCCAGCATTTGGGGTCACAGTGTCAGCAGTGGAGTCACAGGATTAGTGAGGGGGACATGTTTGGTAGGGGTGGTTGTCACTAGAGTGACTATGGGGGACTTTCAGGGTCTGACAGAGGCGATGGGTAGACCCTCGGGGTCCTGGATGAGGACCACAGGGTGGGCCTGGGTGGAGTGGGGAGGTCAGTGAAACGTCAGAGTCAATCATGTAGAGATTCCAAGGACACAGTGTCAGTGAAGGGTGTCAGGATCAGATCTAAGGGTCCCAGGGCCCATCGTGAGTCCCCTGCCTTGCCTCTACCTGCAGACTCCAGGTGAGAGGTGATTCTGGAAGAAGGGAGTTTGCTCAGGGGTTGTGCAGATGAGGCCCTTATGGATCCCAGACAACTCAGAGACGGCACTGCTGGGCTCACCGAGTGCACAGCATTTCAGTGGGCACCTCCTGTCCTGGTGTCTGACCCTCGTCCCATGTTCTGGCAGTTTCTGGGCCCACTCTCTCACCTGCCTTTGACCACTGAACTGCCAGTCCTCCCCAGTCTCTTCCATTGGAGGGCTCTTTTGGGCTACGGGGATGTGTGGCATCAGATCCCTCCTCCCCACTGGCTTTCTTCCCTTCCACAGGTGAGCAGCCCCTTGGGGTCCATGTGCCCACCCGAGGCCCAGGCAGAGGTGGGCCCCACCATGACTGAGAAGGCAGAGATGGTGTGTGCCCCCAGCCCGGTGCCTGCCCCGCTCAAGCCTGTTTCGCCTGGGTCTTCAAAGGTGGAAGTGGGCCATGGAGGCACCTCCTCCCCTAGGCTTCCCCCTGGTGTCCCAGTGATCAGCCTGGGCCACACCAGGCCCCCAGGGGCAGCTATGGCCACCACAGAGCTGAGTGCCCTGCAGCCCCCGCTGCTGCAATTCTCTGCCCTGGGAAGTGCCCCAACCCATCTGGCCCTGCATTACCATCCTCACCCCTTCCTCAACAGGTCAGTGCGGGGCTGGGCCTGGGGGCAATCTGGGGCCAGGGTCATTGCACACAAGGCATTAGTGACCCATGAACCCTTACAGCCTCTACATTGGGCCGGCAGGACCTTTTAGCATCTTCCCTAGCAGCCGGCTGAAGCGGAGACCAAGCCACTGTGAGCTGGAGCTGGCTGAGGGTGAGTATGGGCTTGTGTCTGCATGGGACCCAAGTCTGTCCCGTACCTTTCCACAAGGGTAGGTGCTGCCAGTGTGTGTGCGCGCACACACACACACACATCAGTCCACATAGGGCTTGGGGCTCATGTTACAACCATGTCCAAAACCACAGTCCCAACAGCCAGTCCCACAGAACCAGTCACCCAACAAGCCACAGAGTCCTGGCAAACAGCATGACACAGGGGCCACAAAATGACAGCGCCACTCAGATGCACAGCCACCCAGGAAGCAGCCACATGACAACCCCCCTGCAAGAGACAGACAGGGGACCACAACCACACAGGAGACAGCCACACAACCACAGCCACTTAGGACCATGGCCACACAAGAGTCAGCTGCACAACCGCAACCACGCATGACCCAGCCACATGGCAACAATCACACGACCACAGCCATGTAGACAGACCACAAGTCACAGCCACCTGAGATGAGGACAGGCCCACAATGACAATAGGAGTACCTCTCAGACCCACAAACACCTCTGGCCACACACAGGCACACTCAGAACGAGGACTATAGGGACAGCTCCCCAGACTGGCAGCCGGAGGAAACATTTCAGCCACCGATATAAAGGTGCAGCCAGAGGCACAGAGGCCCCAGTGACCGGCAGCCCGGCCTGTCCTCGTCTAGATTCTAGATGGCTGAGGGTGGGGGATGGGCAGGGTTGCTAACTAGCAGGAGAGCCACACGGGGATTCTACACGTGGATCCCTTCGGTGGAGAAAGCCTCAGCTCACCACCTGTGTGGAAGTCTCCACCGGAGCGCCGGGTGCCTGAAGAGAGGAGGGCAGGAGGGGACGCCCCCTCGGTGTCGACCTCTCCTCTGTCTGCAGGGCAACAGCCCCAGAAGGTGGCGCGGCGCGTGTTCACCAACAGCCGAGAACGCTGGCGACAGCAGAACGTGAACGGCGCCTTCGCTGAGCTTAGAAAGCTGCTGCCCACGCACCCGCCCGACCGGAAGCTGAGCAAGAATGAGGTGCTCCGCCTGGCCATGAAGTACATCGGTTTCCTGGTGCGGCTGCTGCGAGATCAGGCGGCTGCTCTGGCAGCAGGTCCCGCCCCGCCCGGGCCCCGCAAACGGCTGGCTCACAGAGGCCCGGACGACGGTGCCCGCCGTAGGCCCTGTCGCCGGGCAGAGGCGGTGACGCGTCTGCCGCCCGCACCCCCGGCCTGCTCCAAGGACAGCCCCGGTGGGGCGGCCCGCCTCATCAAGACGGAACGAGTGGCTGTGAGCCCAGAGGTGCGGTGACCCCGAGGCGTAGCCTCTGAGCCGAAGTGCACTGGGAACTCAGCCCCGGGCCGTGGACCAATGGGAGGATCACGCGCTGCGCTTACTCTGGAGCGAAGTCCCCCGCAGAGGGACCAGTGAGGACGTACCCTACAGGGGAAGGGGCCTGGGGTCTGGAAGGGCGACCATCACCCCCAGGGGCCCCGCAGACCTTTTTATCACCCACTGCCCGCTGGAAGTGGCCTTGCCGGCATCCTCCTTCCGGAGGCGAGATCCAGGAACCAACATGGCAGAGCGGTCATCGGACCCAAGTGGTGCCTCTGTTTTGCAGACTGGGGTGGGGGTTCACCGAGAGGTGGGGAGGAACCAGGGAGCCTTCCTCTTCTCGCCGGCGCCCCCTCCCGGGAACTCAGGGATCCGAGCGCCTCGACGGCGTGGCGGCGAGCCCGGTGCGCTGAGCCCGCGCGGCGCCCCGCCCCACCTGGCCCAGTTGGGCCCCGCACAATCATGTTAGCGAAGGCTCAGTTGCTCTTGCTTTTGTTTTTCTTTATTTCTTTATTTCACATACACATTAGCCATTCAATGGAGAAGCCGGAGAGTCAGGCAAAGATGGTATAACAGAAGCGCAGTGACGGGGGCGGGGCGGGGTGGGGCGGGGCGGAGAGGGGACAGACGGGCTGGCTGCCTACTTGCATTCCGCTAGGACACTGAAAACCCAGAAAACAAAACAGACAGTAAACTACCCTTGTTTCTTATGTATCTCAGTGCAGAGACGGGGTGGAGGGCGGAGAGAGGGGGAGACCAGGCTGAAGGGGGAGAGGGGAGGACAGGGGACGCTAAAGGGAAGCACACCAAATCCATTAGTACTATATATAGAGATACTCGTATATACTGCGTTTCTTAGCCTAAGAAGAAACTTGTTTGACGGGACGGGCGGCCTTTGCGGTCCGCGATGCTGGTGCTGGTCGGGCGCACGGATCTCCCGGGAGGGTCCGAAGTGGGGCTGGCCCAGGCTGGCTTGCGGGGGGAGGGGGGCGCCCCGAGGGTAGGTGGGTGCAGGGAGCAGAGGCGGGGCTGGGGTGCCCCTCGGGCTCTCGATTGGGGGACGAAAGTTCTCGTGACTTTATTGCTCCTTAATTTTCTCTCGTGTGTGGGTGGGTGGGGGGTCGGTTCCGGCACGGTCGGGGTGGGGACGTGATGGGTCGTCTGAGCCACCCGGCCCCTCTAGGACCCAAAGCGCGGCGTCCGCTCCGCCAGCACGGGGGTGAGAACAAGGCACTAGGTCGGCCGGCCAGCGCGGGGGGGCGAGTGTGTAAGGCAGTCGACAGGGCTGGTTGAGGAGTGGGGCGGGGTGGGCTGTGTGCGGGCCGTGTGCGTGCGTGCGTGCGTGCGCAGGCCTGGGCGAATCGACCTGTCAGCTTGGCCGGTCCTGTCCTGGAGCGTCGAGCCGTCCCCGTGCTCCCCGGAGGGTGACGGGGGTGGAGAGGGTAGGAGGAATGATGTTGAGTCGGGGACTCTGGGGCGGGGCGGGGAGGAAACTACCAACTTGCTGAGCGCGCTCCTGATAATGCTGGTGAGGGTCAAGTTGGCGTCTGGCTCAAAGAAGGGCGCTCAGGGAGGAGAGAGGGAGGGAGGGGACATTTGTTCGTTGGCATTGACCTCTGCGGGGGGTAGGGGGCTGGGGACCCCCGCCGCGCCCCAGTGCCTGGATGAGGATGGGGCGAGGAGGGGGCGCCGGCCCCGGGGAGGGGACGCCCGGGAGACCCGCGGCCAGAGCAGCCCCGCCGCTGGGCGCACGCCGCTGTCCCGTTCCGTTAAACTCAACAAGGAAGGGATATGCGTGTTCCTAACAAGTGCAGGATATTTAATTGATCATAAACTTATGTATAATAGTTTGTGGGTTTTTAAAAACGTACTTTATAATGTAAGAAGCACCAGGGTTTTTATGTTGAATTATCTTAAAAATAATTTTCTCTCGTCCTTTTCCTTTTAGATCTTGTGTTGATTTTTTTTTTAATGTTCAGGTATTTTTTTAACTCTAAAATGTGAACGTTTCCTTCAGCCCTCCCACCGAAACTGAGAACGAACGACGAAACAAATAAAAACCCCAGATCATCCTTGTCAACGCAGGAAAACGACTTAAAAAAAAAAAACTGAAAACGAACAAAAAAAAAAAAGAAAAAAAACACTCAGCTTTCGTTATCCCCGCGAAGGGCGGGGCAGGCCCGGTTCTTTTAGCGTCCCCAGAGCCGCGAGGACATTACAACAAAAATAGAATTTTTCTTAACAATCTCTTAACATACAAAGATAGGAAACTCTCTGATGCATTGCACTTGGTTCAATGAAAAAAAAAAGTTCATTTCCCCCATATATATATTTTTTGTTTTTTGTTTTTTCTCTTCTAACACGTCCCCACATCTCCTGTGGCCCTCGTCGCCTCTCGCCTGACCCTCACAGCGACTCTTGGGAGCGGAGCGGCCCCGCCCCCGCCCGCCCGGCAACCCCGCCGGGCGCGCTCTGCCCCGGCCCAGCTGGCCTGCAGCTTCCGACCTCGCCGGGGCGGGCGCCCCGCAGACCCCGGCTCCCGCCGCGCCCGCGGCCCCGATTGTCTTCGAGGGAAGGGGCACGTGCGGCGGGGCAGGGGGTCCCTTCCGCTCCCCTCTCAGCTCTGACCCTGTTTAGCCAACCAAACTGAAAAATCATTGCACTTTGACCGCGCGTCATGCCCGGCCCCCCCGGCCCCCCACCCCCGCCCTACTCCCCATGCCCCCCCAGGCTCCCGCGGGACCCCCTGTCCCCAGCTTCTCAGTCTCCGTCCTCCCCAGGGCTGCAAGCGGATGGGGGAGGGCCTTCCTTCAACTTCCACAAAAGCCACCCCAAGGGCCAGCTACTCTGTGGTTTCCAGCTGGGGCGGAGGCACCGCCCACTGGCCCCCTCGGCCCCAGGTGAGGGCCTCCTCCCTCCCCCTCTTTCCTTTCCTGGGCCTGCTCCACCGCGGCCTCACACACTAGATTCACAATAAATAAAACCCATAACCCACCCCTGCGGTGCAATGTTGGGTTGATTGACTTTCGGAGGATCCTGACCTGTGCTTTGTGTTTTCATACAATTCAGAAGAGAGAGAGAGAGAGAGAGAGAGAGGCACAAGGACTTAGAAGGGGTCCAAGGAGGGTAGATGGAGGGAGGAGGGAGTAAGGCACAGAAAGACAAGCCAGAGGGGCCAAGTCACACCCGGGGTCTGGGCTGGGCATGTTCCTGCTCCCCTCCCTCCCAGGGGGGCTTCTGAAGACCCTCTGGACAGGCCCCCAATCTTCCCTTGGGGGGAGGAGGGGGCTTCAGTGGAGGGGGGAGCTACTTCCTGTGGTGTGTTACTAAATTGTTCCCAAGTTGCTCAACTGGAGGAGTTCCCAACTGCAACAGCAGAAGACCTGAACGATTAATGCCCCACCCCGAAATAATGAGTAAAGACATTACAGCTGAAATCCAGAGAGAAGTGGCCACAGGGGTGGTGTGGTGGGGAAAGTGGGGGGAGGACAGAGAAAGCTCCAAAACACGTTTGAAAAAGGACGACACCCAACACCCTCCAAAGGAACGGAAAGCGGGCCAGCAGGACGCCTACCTAGAGCAGGTGGCCGCTCTAGCCGAGGGCAGCTGCGGCTGCCCTTCCTCCTCGCTCGGCTCCAGGTCCCTTTTCTCCTCCACTCTCCGGCCTGACCACAGCAGGGCTGTCTGCGTGAGGGGCAGGGACCGATGGGGTGGCACAAGGGCACCTGCATGCGGGCTGGGGTGTGGGGGTGACCTGGGGCCCGTCTCCCTTCACTTGGGCCATGGCAACAGGGCAACCTTGCGGGGCCTGCCTGTGGAGGGAGGGAAGAGGGGTCTGTCCGGTGCTGGGACGGACCTCGGAGAGCATTCTTTTTCCTATGGACTGTACAGGGGGGTCTGGGGTCCCAGGAAACGACCCCTGCAGCTCAGGATGGGATGGCAGAACACCCTCCATTCCAAGACCACAAAACCAGCTCCAGGGGAAGCCCCCTGCCCATGGTGGGTGGGGCTTCTAGCCCAAGGGTGGGGCAGGGGGACTCTGAGGCCACCCTGCTTCACCTGGTCCAGACCAATTAATGGAAGAAGCCAGAGGCGAGGCAGTGAGGAAGGGCAGGATGGGGTCTGGAGGGGAGTGCCCTCTGGATCTGCACCCTCATCTTTACGAGCTAGTCCTCTGATCTCCCTGGTGAAGCTCTGGCCCCAGCCGAGGGTGGGGTTCTCCCAGGAAGGACAAGGGTGGGGGACAGGCCCCTTCGGAACGGTGCTGGTTGCTTTGTTTGGGGATTTCGTCCCTTTCCCCAGAAGGCCAGGATGGGATGGGGGAGGACGGAAGTTCTGCTGCATCCTTTCTTTCTGTCCTCTGCTTCGCAGAGTCCGTTTTGCATGTTTCTTTCTGCTTGGCTGCTGGTGCACAGCTCTACCGAGACCTCTTCCGAGGGCTCTCAGAGAACTGGGCTGCTTCGGGGGGCCTGCAGGGGTCCCTGGGCTGAAGGAGAGAAGGGCTGAGTGGCTGACGACGTCTAATTTTTGCTTTTCGGTGGGGCTGGGCTGGGGGATTTTTTTCCGCGTCTCAAAATTTCTTCTCCCCCCGTTTGAGGAACCTCTTCTTTTCATTTTGTCATTTCTTTTGTCGATCTTATCAGAGGAACCAGGACTGAATCGGGACAAAAAAGAGGCGACATTGAGAACAGCAGAGGCAGGCCGCCCCTCACTCCCCCCTGGCCCTGTGACTGCCGTGCCCCGGGCCCCCAAGGGTCCAGCCCCAGCAGAGCCAAGGACACCAACACTCCACCTAGAGGTGCAGCCCCATTCTGTCAGTCCCTCCTCCGGGAATCCTGTCCCCTGAGAGACCCTGCCCCCCAGTGCCAGCGTCCAGCTGGCCTTCCCCCGGGCACCATGCCCATCGGGTAGGACCCCTGTGGCTGACGCTGGCACAAGCAGAGACCTGGGATCTGGCCATGTTTCCAATTGTTTAGGTTTTTGTGTGGGTCCTGGAGGGTGGGGATGATGCCAGGCTGGAGCTTTTGTCCCCAGAGGGGTTTGGGGAGTGGGGCGGGGGTGGCCCAGCTTCTTGCTGAGTTTTCTTTCTGTCTCTTTGGACTAAAAGCAAAAATTCCCATCTGTACACCCCAGCCAAGGTCCCACAGGCTGAAAGGCTGGCAAGAGGGGGACACCACATGGCTTCAGTCCCTTAGCAGAGCTGGTGCTGGGGGAGGAGCCCAGCAGACACACACCGGCCTCCCCCACCCTCTATCACTAAGGCATTGATTTTCAACCTCTGTGCTGTAAGAATGTTTAAAACATGCAATACCTGACTAGTTAAGGGGCACTGACTTCTTTTCTCTTAGATTGTCAAATTAAAAATAAATGACAACAGCCAACACAACAATAGCCATCCAGTGTGAATGAATCAAAATTATACCTATTTTTGTCAGATTGGCAAAAAATATGCTTTTTGGAGTGCCGCAGAATTTCAGTAATTAGTTTA